GCTGCTCTTTTGATCACAAGTGGTTGGTTATTCTGAGGAATATGTACTTTCCTAGTGTTGCTCACTTATTAAGCTAATGTTTGGCGGAAAAGTGAGGCATGCAGGTGAGTTCAGTTTCAGGCCTGAAGGGTAACTAACGGCCATAGTCTGAAAGCTTTACTAGACTCTATACAACCAATAAAACTGGTCTTTTTGTGATTTTGAGTTTTGTTAGGCATTTTTTCTACCACTCTATCCAGGAACTTCTAATAGGATCCTCTTCCAAGAAGCAGGCAGTAGTAGTCAGGCACCATCTGAGGGTTATGGAGGTTGAGGTTTGTACACTAGAACACCACATCTTGATGCTAATCCTTTCTAGAAGGAGTGTCGAGATGTGATGCAGTCGAATTCAGAATCAATTTTTCCCCCATAAGAAATAGCTGAAAACATATTACCGTAATCCTTTCTTGACCACCAAGTTTATACCCTAAGCTTGTCTTTTTATACAAAACATTACCCAGAACTTTCAAAGTAAGTAAGTTCAGAGTTAAATAATACAATTTAAATAAGAAACACAACATTTTTAAAGTTTTTAACAACTATAGTATGGCTGATACCTTGAGATTGATGAGGATCTGTGGGCACGGATGTGGAGAGGAGGCATGGAGAGAGAGTCGTTTGGAAGGGGAATCCCCATGAAATCAACTGGCAGCTGCTTTTCAGGAGTTGCTTCTTTTTTTTCTCTCTCTCTTGTTGTTGCCTTTTTTCCACTAGGATCTGGCTGGCTTTCTCTAAAAAAAAAAAATCTGTCTAATGTGGTCTGCTATTCTAAAAGGGTTCACTAAATTATCATCAACTATGGATAACACAGCTAAGCAGTTCCTTATCATGCTGATTCTTTAAAAAAACAACAAAAAAAACCTCTTTCTTGGGTCCCATGTGTTTTATCTAAAAACAGTACAAAAAGCCAGAAAACTAAGAAAATTATAGCAAATCTCTTGGAACACAGCTGCAAAAGGTTTAAACGTGTACTAACAACGCCAATTAACGCCGAGTGACCTAAACATGAACTGCTTTTATTTACAAGAATGAGGTGCATCTGGTCAGATTCCGATGTTTTGTTCGAGCTCCAATGCAAAATGTTCTCGACATTTTGGGTAGAAATCTGATTCTGTGGAGAACTGATGCGGTCGAGGACCAGGGTTCTAGGGTGGTGTCCCTGAGTGGTACACGTCTGTGCTTTCCTGCCCTCTACTTTGCAGAGAGTGGTGATGAGTAGAACTGCCAACAGCAAGGCCAGTGGTTTGAAACCAACAGCTGATCCTAATGATAAAGACAAGGCTTTCTACTCCCTAAAGAGTTAGTCTCTGAAACTCACAGGAGCGGTTCTCCCCAATAGAGTAAGTGTGAATCAGCATCTACTCAATGTCGGTGAGTGACTTAACTTCACTACTTATTCCTTATATAGTTACTCACAAGGTCATAAGACTCCAGTTACCATTCAACAATATATTTAGAACACAGTCTCTGTGGTATAGGTTATGCCAATTAACCTTGGTACCCCCTAAATTATGATTCTGAGCTTTATTAATACCGAGACTATGATACTGAGGCTAAGCAACTCATTCTTTCAAGATGTTTGTTTATGGTTAACATGTTTTCACAATTTTGTCCCCTGTATGCCTTACTGTATTTATGGATCTACTTTCAATATATTTAAATATATATCAAAAAATATCCTCTAAAACCTATAATTTGTATGCCTGATCCCATTTTTCTTCTTATATGTTTTCAGCATGCTTATCAATCTATGCATCTACTCAGAGAATTTTTATTTCAAGATTTGTTATATACTATTCTTTTTGTAGTACCTACCTCTGTTGCCTTTAACTCATACTGTAGTTCAAAATATGGACCTGGGGATTGCTAAATATATACTATAATTTTTCAAGACCAAGACCAAAAAGCAAATAGCTTTTTCAGTAATAAAAAAGGAAACTGTGCTCATGCACATCTCCAGATAGAATGCACAAAAATCAAATTGACTATATCTGTGGGAAGAGAAATGGAGAAGCTCAATAACAGCATCTAAAACAAGGTCAAGGACTGACTGTGGAACAGACCATCAGTTGCTTATATGTAAATTCATGTTAAAGGTGAAGAAAATTAAGACATGTCCATAAGAACAAAAATACAACCGTGAATCTATCCCAACTGAAGTTAGAGAGCATCTCAAGAACAAAGGTGATGCACTGAACACTATTGCTAGAAGCCCTGATGAACTGTGGGAGGACATCAAGAACATTTATGAAGAAAGCAAAGGTCATTAAAAAGATAGGAAAGAAAAAGATCAAAGTGGATGTCAGAGGAAACTCTGAAACTTGCTGTTACTGGTACAGTAGCTAAAGCAAATAGAATGATGAGAACTGGACGAGCTGAAGAGAAATTTCAAAGGGCAGCTTGAGAACACAAGGCCAAATAACATGATGAAATGTCCAAAGATCTAGAGTTAAAAATCAAAAAGGAAAACACCCTCAGCCTATCTTAAACTGAAAGGCCTAAAAAAAAAAATTCAGTCCTTGAGTTGAAATATTGTAAGGCAAAACATTGAACGATGCAGGAAGCATCAAAGGAAGATGGAAAGAATCCGCAGAGTCACTGTACCAAAAAGAACGTATGACCATTTCAGGAGGTGCATGGGAGCTAGAACCGATAGTACAAAAGGAAGACGTTCAAGCTGCACTGAAAGCATTAGCCAAAAACCAGGCTTCAGGTATGGATGGAATGCCAATTGGAATGTGTGTTTTTTTAACAAGTTGAAAAAGTACTAGAAGCCCTTACCTGCCTATGCCAGGAATGTGGAAGACAACTACTTAGCCAGCTGACTGTATTTATACACATTCCAAATAAAGGTGACGCCTCAGAATGCTCAAATTATAAAAGATTATCATGGCTATCCCATGCAAGTAAAATTTTGCTTAAGCTCATCCAATAATGGTTGCAGTAGTATATCGTCAAGGAGTTGCCTGAAGTTCAGGTCAAATTCACAAAAGGACTTGGAACAAGGGATATCCTTGCTGATGTCAGATGGATTTTGGTGGAGGGCAGAGAATCCCAGAAAGAAGTTCATTTTGTTTTATTAACTGTTCCAAGGCATTTGACTGTTTGAATCATAACAAACTATGGATAACCTTGAGAAAAATTGGAATTCCAGAGCACTTCACTGAGCTCCCGGGGAACTTGTACGTAGATCAAGAGGCAGTTGTAAGAACAGAGTAAGGAAATACGACATGGTTTAAAATTAGGAAAGGTGAGATACTAAATTGAATCTTCTCACCATACTTGTTCAATCTGTATACTGAGCAATTAATCAGAAAACCTGGCTTCTATGAAGAAGAACTTCGTGTCAGAATTGGAAGAATGTTTATTAAAAACCTGCAATATGCAAATGACACAAGCTTGCTTCTGAAAAAGAGGAAGGCTTGAAATACTTGCTGAGGAAGATTAAGGCTTGCAGCCTGCAGCATCAATGACAACGCAATGTAAAGAAGCTCAAAATCCCCACAACTGGAACAAAAGGTAACATAAATGGAGCAAAGGTTGAGATGGTCCATGACTTTGTCTTGCTTGCATCCACAGTCAGTGCTCATGGAAGCAGCTGTCAAGAGATGAAAAGATAGAGTGCGTTGGGTAAATCTGTTGCACGAGACCACTCCAGATTATTGAAAAGCATGGATGGTACTTTGAGGATTAAAGTGCCCCTAACCCAAGTCATGGTATTTTCAACTGCCTCATATTCATGTGGAAATTGGACACTGAATAAGTACAATTGAAAACAAAGCAGTACATTTGAATTGTGCTGAAGAAAAATATTTAAAATACCATGGACTGAAAAAAGACAAACTCATCTGTCTGTCTCAGAAGTATGGTCAGAGTGCTAGTTGGAGGCAAGGATGGAAACTTTGTCTTATGTATTTTGGATATGTTTTCAGGAGTGTCCATGCCGTGGGGAAGGACATCATGCTTATAGAGTGAAGAGGCGGTGAACGAGAGGAAGGCTCTTGAGATGGATTGACATGGTGGCCACAATGAGGCCCAATGAAAGAACAAATGTGAGGTCCTGCAGGACCACGCTGTGGAACCGGCTCATAGGCACCTAACAACAATAACATTGGTCTGTTTCTCTTCATGAGTGATGCCTTTTGCAAGGTTTGGTATTATGATGATGCTTGCTTCATATGATTAATTTGTGAGTAGTCCATCCTTTTCTATGCCCTGGGATATTTTTAATAAAGTTGACATTCGCTCTTCTTTGAATGTTTTTGTTTTTTTTTTAATAATTTGTCTCTGAAGCTCTCTGGACCAGGACTATTTTTTGCTAGGCGATCTTTCATGGCCTGTTCAATTTCTTTTCTTTCTTTGGCTAGGTGCCTGTTAAAAATTCTATACCAATCTGCATTGGGTTAAGTAGGGCATGCATTTTAGATATGTATGCATTTATTTTAGGTTTTCAAATTTATTGGAATATATTTCATAATATTGTGTTTTTCCCCAAATCAGTTGGTTCTGTTGTGACAGCACCCATTTAATTTCTTTTCTTTTCATTCTTATAAAAAAACAAAACTCATGCATTTTGTTTACATCTTCTGCCTTTCCTTCTTAGATCTGGTATGGGTTGTTAATTTTGTTTATCCTTTCAAAGCAACAATTTCTTGTGTTATAAATTCTTTCTATTGGTCACGTTTTTTCTATTTCACTTATTTCTGCTCCAAACTTTTATTATTCACTTTGTTCTCTTTCTGTAGGCTAGTTTGCTGCTGCTTTTCTCATTGTTTGAGATAAGGAGTTAAGGGATTTATTTGATTTTTCTCTTTTGATATGTGCTATTACTGCTATAAATTGCCCTTTTTGTCCCCAAAGTTTTGGTATGTTGTTTTGGCACTGTCATTTGGTTAATTGCTTTTCTTATTTCCCTTTGAATTTCTTCTATCACCCAGAAGTTTGTTTGTTTGCTTGTTTTTCACTCTCTAACCCGCTTCAGTGCCTGAAGCCCATAGGGTAAAGCCAGGCAATGGTTCGGGGTCACAGTTAGCTTTCACGGGGGACACTGTGAGAGGCCCATGGATCAGACCTGCCACAAATCCAAATCCATGCACAACACCTAGAAGTTTTAAATCAGGGTTTATTCAGCTTTCTTGTTTCATTTTTCCCGTCTAGCTCTTTCTTGTGTTGAGTCTATTGTACGATGCTCTTAGAAAACTTTTTATAGTATTTTAATGATTCTTAATTTATTGATGTTTGCTTTGGGGCCTAAAACCTCGTCTATTTCTGGGACTATTTCATTGGTGCTTGGAAAATAATGTGTTTTGCACTGTCACGTGAAATGTTCTATATAAGTTAACAAGGTCAAGTTTTTAAATTGCACTTAGTTCTTCTGTACTTTTTTTCCCTAGTTTATCTTTCCGTCAACAAAAATGGTATATTAAGATCTGATATTATTGAAGTAGAATATTTATTTCTTCAATTCTATTAAATTGGATATGCGTATTTCGAGGCTGTTTCATTGACTGCACAGATTATTTATTATGGCTATGCCCTCTTGTTCTATTGACCCATTCATTAGTCATTATGTAAAGATCTTCCTGGCTCTTTATGCTGGCGATTGTCTTAAAGCCTATTTTATCAGAAATTTACATGGCTACGAATGCTCTTTTTGATTGCCATTATCTTGATACATTTTTTTTTTCAGCATTTGGTTATTAGATCCTCTTTGTCTTTGTGTCTCATGTAGACTGCATATTAATGGGTCCTATTTTCTTATCAATTGTGCTGTCCTCTGTCTCTTGATTGGTGCATTTAATCTGCCTATTATCAGTGTAATTACAAGTATGACTATCATTTTCTGTGTGTTCCTTGTGTCTGTGATGGGGCTGCTTCCTTTGTTCCACATACAGTTTTCTCTGGCTTCTTTTTGTCTGTGAATTTTCTTGTCATTTTCGCCATTGCTGCTGTTTTAGTACTTGCTCCTAGTGATTCCCTGTGCTTACTTTGATGAGAAGTCTTACTCATTTTCTTTGAGGTCAACCTGCAATTCATTATTTTCTTTCCAAGTTTTTTTTAAAAATCATTTTATTGGGGCTCATGCAATTCATCACAATACATAGATCAATTGTGTAAAGCACCCTTATACATTTGTTGCCCTCCTCATTCCCAAAATGTGCTTTCCTCTTGGGTTCCTGGAATCAGCTCATTTTCCTTTTTTCCCCTCCCCCTCCCTTCCCCCTCCCCCCTCCCCCATGCACCCTTAAGAATTTATAAATTATTATTATTTCTTATATTATAGTTTATAACAGTTTGTACTACTGTGAACCTGTTTTGCCTTCCTCTCCACCTGAATGTTTGGGAACCACGCTTTGTTCCTTCAACTTTGCCACTGTCTCATTCACAAATTGATATCGCGTGTTGCCTGTTTCCGTCATGTAGTTTTGATTTACTCTGGACACGTCTTTATCTGGCAGGACTTCTGGGAGATATTGGTAAATGCATTAAAGTCGGGGTTTTGTTTGCTTTTGTCGGTTCACTGTCCAAAGACCCCTCATCAGTATTTCTTGTAAACTTGGTCTGTATTTTGCAAATTTACTTAAATTCTATTTCTCTGTAAATGTCTTAACTTTTCCGTTGTATTTAAGATCAGTTTTGAAGGAGATATAATTCTTAGTTGGCCTTATAAGTTCATCTTTTTAGAGTTTTATATATGTCACTCCATTTTCTACTGGCCCGCACGGTTTCGATCCTGAGTCCTGAGCCTTGTCTGTTGGTTCTTTCGTTGTGTGTAGTATTCCTTTCCTTTTAAGTTGGGAAAAGCTTGACCATTATGTCTTGATAATTTTCTAACTATGTGGTGATTTTGAACTTATTTAATACACATAATCTCTTTTTTATGATAGTAAGGACATTTTCTTCCAAGAAATCTTCAATAATTTCCTTGTGATGTCCACCGCCCTATCTCTTGCTGTTCTGAAGTTCTGATCCTCTGTAAGTTATTCCTCTCGTGGGTGTCAGAGCTTGGACTTTTTGTGTCTTCTTTTATCGCCCTGGCTTTTCCTTTAGCAGGGTTTATGGAAAGATCGCTCCTCACAAATTCAGGTTTTTTATTTTCATTTTCTTGCTTGTCGTGTGTTACTGAATTCTTTTGGAATTTTGTCTGAGCTTTCCTTGATTTTATCCTCAATTTCCTTTACTTTTCTCTCAATTCATTGAAGGCACATAAAAATCATTCTTTTGAATTCTTTTTAAGGTAGACCCAATATTTGTTCTTCCTAGAAAAGTTTTATGCCTCTGTATTTTCGTCACTTGTTGAGTTACATTGTCTTGTTTCCTTGTGTGAATTGAAGTTGTTTGCTGTCTCAAAAACATTGTGGTGGTATTATATTTGTATTTAATTGGTGATTGCATGCTAGTGTGTTTTTAGGTGCCTACCACCTAGTATGTATGATACCGATGGAAGCCTGGGCATAAAAGTGGTAAGAGGGTGTTGCTGGTGGTGATCGCCATGTATCATTGACCACTGCTAAGCGTACAAGTGAGGCCCTGCCCCAATGGTTGGGACTGCAGGATGTGAAGATGTGGGTAGGTAATGTGGGCATATTTTCTGTCTCTTCCACTATAAATAAGAAAAAAAATAACAACAGCAACAATCACTAAAAAAGATAAAACAACAGAAAAAAATGGTGCCTGGCTATCAAAAGATGCAGCATCCAGGGTCTTAAAGGCTGGAAGATAAAAAAGCAGCCAACTAGCTCAGAAGCAACAAAGCCCACATGGAAGAAGCACACCAGCATGTGTGACCATGAGCTGTCGAAGGGATTGGGTGTCAGGCATCAAGGAACAAGAAATCATGTCATTGTAAAGGTGGGTGAGTGCAGAGTGGAGACTCAGAGTCCATCGGTAGGCAACTGAACACCCCTTGCTGAGGGGTTGTGGGGAGGAGACGAGCAAATCAGCGTGCAGGGTAGCAACGATGAAACATATAACTTTCCTCTAGTTCTTAAATGTTTCTTCCCCCCTGCCCACTATCATGATCCCAATTCTGCTTTGCAAATCTGGCTAGACCAGAGGATGTACATTGTACAGATAGCAACTGGAAACACAGGGAATCCAGGATAGAAGACTCCTTCAGGACCAGTGGTGAGAGGGGCGATGCCTGGAGGGTAAAGGGAATGTGGGGTAGAAGGGGGGAACCAATTACAAGAATCTAAGTATAGCCTCCTCCCTGGGGGATGGACAGCAGAGAAGAGGGTGGAGGGAGAAGTTGGACAGTGTAACTTATGACAAAACTATAATAATTTATGAATTATGAAGGGTTCATGAGGGAGGGGGAAGTGGAGAGGGAGAGGGAAAATGAGCAACTGATATTAAGGGCTAAAGTAGAAGGCAAATGTTTTGAGAATGATGAGGGCAACAAATGTACATATGTGCTTGACACAATGGATGTATGTATAGACTGTGATAAGAATTGTATGAGCCCCCAATAAAATAATTTTTTAAAAAGCTAGCCATCCAATGAATGTACAAATGTGCTTTACACAAATGATGTATTTATGAATTGTGATAAAAGTTGTATGAGCCCCCAATAAAACAATTTTAAAATTAAAAAAAAAGAAAACTGAAAGCAAAAAAATCAAGGAAAAAAAGGAATAGAGAAAAAGGCAAGAAAAGCAAATCAGAATCAGAAGTAGGGAAGGTGCATAAAGAAAAAAGAGAAAAGTAAAGCAAACATTTAAGAAAAGTGAAAGGAAAATGAAATTGGGGTGTGGGAGAACATGGGAAGGGAAGGAAAAGGAGAAGAAAAACTGGAAAGGGGAGACAGGTTCAAAGGTGATGCTTCTACTTGCCAAATAGGCAGCAAGGGATGAGGCACATGGTACGGTTGGTCATGCTGGAAAGACTATGGGAGTGATGGGTGGGCAGGGACACTGGTCCTGAATGGAATTCCTGCACGTCTGGAAGGTGATTGCAATTAGGAAACCTAATCCTAGGAGTTTCTGCTAGTTTAGTGATTGGCTGGGGTCAGTGTGTCTACTCGCAGAAAGAGCTCATGTGGTCCCAAGGGATGGCTGGAGACAAACACTTGTCAGGTATTGGGTGCTCTGTTGGCCAGAGGAGAAAGAGAGCATGTGCCTCTACGTGTGAGCATGGCCTGTGGGTGTGCATCTTACAGCAGGTGGAGCAGGGTTTGCGAAGTTGCCAGCTACAGGGTGACCAAGTGTGGGTTGTGGAAACTGTGGTGAACAAGGAAAGATCTTTCGGGTCCCCAGACTCCAATCATGGGCAGTTGTGCAATGCTGGGTGAGGGGATCTGAGCAGCAGATTTTGGTTCCAAGGGAACATGGTTTGTAAAAAGTTAAAGTGGTCACATTTTGCCATGCCAGCTGAAATTCACGGTTCCATTTGTCATTTTGTTTGTAAGTTTTGATCAGCTTGTTCGCCTTATCCTATCTCCGGTGCTTCAGATTCCAGTATTATCACCCACACCTGCTTCCTTGTCTTTCATTGCCTTTGTTGTGAAGTGTCTTGTTATTCTGTCTACATAGTCTGCCATATTTTGAGAAGCCCTCAAATATTTTTAGAACAAAATTGTATTACAATCAGTATTATTTACCTGTTCTTCCATCTGTTTACCCCAAGAAATATTCTTGGTTTCTGAATTTTCTATCTCAGTGTCCACAAGGGTACAAAATTCAGGAACTAAGGAGTAATTCTCTATTATTTTCTTCCCCAGACCTCTATTCCACTCATTCATATATACTGTTACCTGTATCTATGCATTATATTTCAAAGTCGTTCATTCCCTCTATTTCCAAAATCAAACTTAGATCATTATCATCGCTTGTGTGGCAACTAGACTAAATTACTGAACAATTTCTCAGAGACTCATGCTCATCCAATTTATTACCCCAATATTAGCAAAAGTGATTCTCTTAAGGGATAAATGAAATAATTTTATTTTCCTACACAATGGTCCTTAGTGCATACCTTTCAAATTGGCTGAAAATCCAGTGTTTTCATTCGGCCCTGTACAATACTGTCTCCGAGCTGGACCACTGGCCATTATCGTCCTGAATGCCAGCCCCTCTGGTCTTCTCTCTAGCTCT